ACCCTATCTAGGATTCTTAAGTTATGTGGTCTAGATATTGCTGAAAATAACTTTGTGCTGATTCCATCGCAGCTTTTTCTTTTCTTGACTCCCAAAACATACTACACTGGTTTTTTAAAAAGGTCGATAGCCATCTAAGGTGAGACGTAGGCCTTCAAATGCGGCTCCTAACCGTGTCTTCAAATTTTCATTTTGCGGGCCGTTTTTTTTCCTTGAAATTGTACAGTATGGACAGTGCAAGTTAGCTGATTTAAACGAGATGGAAGCACTTAAACTAAGTAGTCAAGTGACCTAGCGACCTTACAGTTCTTGCTCATTTTTTGAAATGAGCACAATACGAAAAACAGGTCTTCATTTTCCATTAAGTCGGTACTTTTGAAATCAACATATTCTAGTGTAAAATCTTCAATAAGCTTAAACCATTGCAAGTCTTCCAAACTGAAGGAACAGTTATTTGCTTCTCTAAATAATATCACCCACCAGTTTCAGTACAAGCTTCAGGAACGGGGCCCGTAAGTTCCGTACGACGCTTTTTTTGACGGCGCTTAGTGAAACGTAGATCTATTCAGGGAGAAACTTGGAACGAAAGAGATTTCGCACGCATTTATTTGGAATTAGGGTTCTGGGCGCAGTTTATGCAAAAATTTGCAAGTGCTTATTTATTTTGCTACTGTTGTATCTATTTCACCGAAAGTAAGGAATGTATGTGAGAGAATTTGCATTTTATTGGCTGATTTCCTCCTTTTTTGCAGATACCACAAATTCAAAGACATATAATGATACTTTTTAATGTGTTCTTTTGCAAAGAAAACTAAGCCTACATTGTTCAACTTGCATTTCGTAACATGGTTGGAAATCATTTCAGCGCATTTTAGGTATTTTATTCTATTTAATGACGGTGCCCTCCTGGGATTCAAAGCAAAGCCGAAGTTAGGTCAACCCTTTCCAGAACCTTTAAACGACTTCATGGTGAAGGATGCACAGGTTCTTTTTCTCGTATTTAGTTTTGTTTATGCCATTATTTTTTGAGTCATTTCTGTCCTATCGTGTCGATTTCCTTCATTGTAGGCAATTCGCTACGAAAAGCCACGACCGAATATGTTCATGATACGTGTCCTTCAGTGGACCACAGTTATTGAACGCACATTCTATGCTGAAACGGCGGAGGTAAGAAATATCTTCAGTAACACACACACTCCACATCAAAGCTTTTACGAATTCTATTGTGCTATCTCAATGCAGCTTCTTGAAATAGGTTTCTTTTTGGCAATTGAGTTCCACTGTTCATACTCTTTGACTCGCCAGGAAACTTTAGTCACGTGAGAGATGGATAGCTGCCATCGAGCTCATTGCTAACCGGTACAGACAGCATATGAGTGAAGAACCGCAACCTGTTCCAGAAGAAATGATGGAGGTGGTTAGCCAGGTTAGTTTTGATACGTGATCTTTGTGAAAGAATCTCTTTGTCCGAATCTTGATAATAAAATAATAATGAAAAATAGTCTAAATAAATCTTTTTGAAACCTTCTAAAAGCGAATTTTAATTTTCAAAACCTTGCTTGAGTTCTTCCTTGAGCCTTAGATATGTATTAAGGCATCAATGGATGATTTGTCTGGACAGTATGCCGGTGCTGCACATGCGATCATGGGACAACCCTCAATTCCTGCAAATTCGGGAGCCAATGCATTAGCGAGAACGGAAATGATGAGCATTGCAGATACTAGTGACGCTGCAAAACGAGACAAAATAGTAAATCTGCTTTATAGATGTTTATAATACATATTCACCCTTTTTTT